AAATTATACTTTCTATTTGATAAATTTATTTCAAATTATACCTTGAGATTCGGTTTCAAGTCTTCGTTTTGCCATAAAATTCAGCAGGTATAATGATAAAAATTAATAATTTTGTAAAAATTACACCAATTAGTTAAATATAAGGAGATTTAGTGCATTTTTTAAAAGTTAAAATACAGGGTAAAAACCTACACGTTAACACACAAATGGCGCCACATATTATACTTAACATATCCCACCAGTCAAAATCGAGTTTTTTTTTTTTCTTTTTAATTCCAATCACTGTCCAACTTATCGAGATTTATTTAGAGGAATTTGCACCCCTTACTTTACCATCCTAATTATATTACAATTCTGCATTCATGATATTAATATTTATAATTGTACTAAAATAAGCCTAAAATATTACAAATATACCTAAGACTTAATCCTTTAAATTAATTGAGATAATTAATTGAAAATTACTGATTTTATGGGTGAAGATAATATCTCTCTCCCTCTCCGTCTCGCTCTCTGCTCTCTCTCCCCCATCTCGCTTCGTCTTCATCTCTCTCCCTGTTTGTTTTTGTATCTTCTCTCTCTGTATTCTCTTGACTTGTTTTTAGCTGGTATTTGAAAGAGGTTTGATCGCAAAATAATTTTTCTCATGATTCTGATCTGATCGAATCCGATCGATCGGTTGCTACAAATTTTATTTTTTTATTTATTTTTTTCTGGTCGGCTGTGTCCCGCCGCCATATTGCTGCGCATTCACGATTGGCCTTGTTGTCCAGTCCTCAATTCCCGTCGCCAAAAGGAAAAGTGGCGTGTTTTGCTTGATTGTCCAAAAGTTCAAGGCTGCTTGAATTTAATTCATTGCTGCTTGATTTTAAAGGAGTATTTGCTTGTGTTTTGCTTGATTGTCCAAAAATTCAAGGCTGCTTGAATTTAATTCATTGCTGCTTGATTTTAAAGGAATATTTTTAAGGAATATTTGCTTGATTACAAATTGGGTGTTTAAGAATTTGTAACCTTTGCACATATGCGTTGAAAATGTATATAATTCGAAGGTATATTTACAAAACCGAGTT